TTCATTAATGTTTAAATTCTAATTATTACTCTGTATTATCCTTAGACATGATAGTTGATAGTTGATACAAGAGTTAATATATAGTAAAACCAGTATATCCGAACATCTCTCTAGTCCGAACACTTCTAAATGTAACTGTTTTTTTGTTCCGAATGTTTTTTATCTGTCATAGACTTCTATGTTGAAAACTTCGAAATCTGAAAGTCTACCGATCAGAACACCTTTGGCTGATCCCAGTGGTGTTTGGATTAGATGATCCAAATGGGAGGGGGAACGGGTTTAGAGGGTGCAAATGAACCCAATCCTAATGTTCAGAAAAATGACTGACAAATTTAATTTAACTTTATCTTGACCCCAAACCTAAAACCTGACATTGTCTCATTTCTTGAGAAAATGGGCCTCAAATTCTGAAACAATGGGACCAAATTTTCACCAGCAAAACAAAAAATTTTCACAAAAGGGGCATTTTCTCCATGCACCTGTGGGAAGGGATTTCCCCAGGGATAATGAAAAACTACTACCCCCCTCAAAAACTTATACAGGCCTGAACTCTGACCGTATCCTAACTCAAAAAATTATCTCTAACTTAAGAGTATAGACAAAGAAGACATCCTCTTGTCAAGGGTAAATAAATTAGAATTGATCTATCCTCTCCTATATCGTAGATAATTAGGTTAAGTAAATGTATATGATTGTTAATAATATAACCTGCATTGTCGTAATGTAAAAACACCATATGGTACCAATCATAGGTTAGATTGCTACTTTCTATATATCTATGCTGCACCTTTTATATTAAAAATGAGGATGATCCTCATTTCATGATCACAATTAGGTTACATCAATTAAAGAACCTCCCCCGATGAAATCTTTTGTCTCCCTAAGGAAAAGCTGGTTTCAGGTCTGTTGTTCTATGTCTGGAGGCATTGATTTGTAGACAAGGCAAGGAAGGATGAGTCCATATTTGAAATGTAGTGTATGACTTACTATGAGGATTGCATCAAAATTTTTGAAAGTACACATTTACCACCTTAACACAGGGGTTTCACTAGAATTTCTCACAACAGGCTAAATAAATTAAAACAACAGGCAAAATTTTATGAAAATCATAAACTTAACATGGAAAAGTCCCTTAAAACAACAGGCGATATTGCGAAAACAACCGGTGAAAATCGCCTGTTGCATGCTGTTAATGAAACCCCTTTTAACAGGAGTTCAAAATTTGCCATATCATATGAAAATTCAAGCACATTATATACAGTTCATAAAATCAATAAGTTTAATTACATTGCCTAACATGTGTCATCTCCTGAATCTGCCTTATGCATTGAAGTTAATAGCTACAATCAATCGATTCATGTTAAAAACAAGTTTCATCATTCAGGGGTTTCACTAGAATTTCTCACAATATGCTAAATAAATGAAAACAACAGGCAAAATAATTGGAAATCATAAATTTAACATAGAAAAGTTAAAATCTCTAAAAATAACAGGCGATTTTGTGAAAACTGGTGAAAATCGCCTGCTGCCTGCTGCTAATGAAACCCCTGTCATTGATCATTTAAAAATCAACTTCATGTGAACTTACATACCTACGATAATGTACATACATACCCATCATACATACAGCCTTCCACAAAGTCAAAGCATAAAATCAAAATGGAATTCTTAATTGACTCAGAACAACTAATAAAAATAGACTTCACACAATGCTAATATAAAATATAGACAGCGCATAGCATTAATATTTATATATTTACTGAACCATGACTATTGATAGTTTGTTATGACTCATCGATTGTCCATTAATATTTTATGGATGGACGATTGTTTGATAACATGCCTTTTCTATGTTTTTGTTGTCATAACAAATACATCTCCTGATTCCTGATATCAATATTATCTATTGTACTGTGGGGTTATAGTAGAGTTTTGACAACTGGCAATCAAGGCATTAACATGCAAAATGTCACTACCTGCCAATTGTAACAGATGCTGAACACCGTCCACAAAAAAAGTTTCAGACTATCACAATACAGGGTGTTCTCTAGAACGTTATAAGGTGGCGGATCAGCACTACTACTACCTTCAAATATATCACCCCCACTTTCTTGTGAAAGAATCAACCCATCGTCACTCCATAAAACTATACATTTTACCGAGAATTGGTAAAATTGTTGTCTTTTTCCTGGAAAATTTTGTTTTTATTTTGGCCGGAAATCAAAAAATCGAGATCAGAAAGTACGAAACTAATATACAACTAGAAAAACAGCAACTCCATGGAGTAGCAAATCCCACCGAACAAAACATATTATGCTTATTATAGCTGGTGCACTTTCTGATAGAAGCATGAAATTTGGCACAAAGTTAGTTTATACCATTGTGAACTAGGCATCATCATATAGAATTTGAACCAAATCCGTTCGCTGGTATATGAGTTATCAGAGATAACGTTTTTTACGAAAATTGGCCGCCATCTTAAAATTCAGCTGCCATCGTGAAAATTATTTCTTGAACAGAGCTACTGTGTCCCTAGGCATAATCATATACAATTTCAACCAAATCTGTTCACTGGTATTTGAGTTATCAAAGAAGACGTTTTTTACGAAAAATTGCCACCAATTTGAAATTAAGCGGCCATCTTGAAATTTTTTTGTCGAACATATTACTGTGTCCCTAAGCATCATCATATAAAATTTGAACCAAATCCGTTCACTGGTATTTGAGTTATCAAAGATTACATATTTTTACGAAAAATGGCTGCCATTTTGAAATTAAGTGGCCATCTTGAAAATCTATTTTTGTGCGAAACTCCTTTGTCCCTAGGCATCAGCATATAAAATTTGATCCAAATCCGTCAACTTGTATTTGAGTTATCATCATTTTGAATAGCAGAGGTCCTACACTAATAAGGCATAAGCCTATAAAATTTGAACCAAATCCGTCAACCGGTATTGGAGTTATCGCCCGGATGAATGGACGGACGGACAAACGGACGGCTTCTCTATATCCCCCTCGAACTTCATTGGGTGGGATAATGAACAATTTTGCGCATACATAGACTGTGCCATTCTTCTTTTTGCGCAAATGGGTAAGTCCTAACTTCTATTCACGCTTTATTTTGACCGGAAGTCGATTTGGAAAGTATGAAACTAATGTCAATGTACAATAATCATCTTTTGCGCATCTATTGACTGCATTGTTTTTCTTTAATTTGCACAAACGGGTAAGTACAAACTTCTATTTGAGCAATTAGAGCAATATATTTCGTCTTTATATATGGAATATTTTAACAGTGAAGAGCAAATTAAAAGAAAGAAATTGTTGATGAAAATGGCATAATCATAATGGGGGTTAGCATACAATTTCGATCACCATGCACTTGCACGTATACTTATTTAAGCCTTATTTCTTTCTTTTTATTTATCAATTATTAGTTACATTTACAAAATTATCTTCAATCGCCAAATGCATGCATGGCATTATAGAACATTGATGCGCTTTTGAATATAATATAAGGAGCAATGTTAACAGTAGTTTTGGAGTTGTGGAGGGGTGGGTGCTTGGCGTGGGAAACAGTTATTTAAGCCTTATCTTTGATGTTGGTGGAAAAAATCTCCTTGTGTCTATCTTATGTCAATGCTTTTTTTCAACTGTGATAGTAAAAGCATTAAAGAATTATGACAGAATCATTCTCTGCTGTTTATTTTATTTTAAAACATAGTTTCGATAGGCATGTTCAAGCTGTCACGTCCAACGTGAAGTGAGGTAGGAATCCTCTTGAGCACCCTGCAATTTGTAATGTCACAATATGCATATGGTGGTGACATGTACATAAAAAGTGGAAATATCATTTTAACGTGGAAACAAATCGTGTGCTGCTAATGACACAAGTGCATTGATTTTATTAATCGATATGCAACTCTAGGTTTCAATACAAATATAAAATGTATAAATATTTTATTACTATAAACTATTTCTAAATATTGGCAAATACATTTGAATTCTTTCAAATTCTGATTAGGCTAAATTTTGAACAATTTAGATGCTCAATTAATGTGACAGATTAGTAAAATACATGTAGTCATGATATGTTTATATCAGATACTTGCGTATGAGGTAAAAAATGCCCTTGTTGTTATTGAGGTATTGGTATATCCAGAGAATTTATCTCACATCATATTATACAGCCTTGAAACATTTTTCCATTCCCTGCATTATGCTGATTATTTGGATATTTTACTTTTATCTCAAATGATTGCTTGAAACTTCCATCAATGTCTCTCTTGTAACTCGCTCTTTAGTTTACCTACTATGGTTAATTGGTAGAGGCAAGGTTAACACTATCCCTTGGCCCCAGGTACAAAATCTGTTTGTGCATTATCATATGACATTCAAGGTGTTTGACTGATTGGTCGACTTCTCCGATTAAAGGCTGAGGTGAGCATTGTATTGTATCAGCACATAAAAGAACACAAGACTCCTCTAAGGAGACTTCAACTCAAGTGTAAAAATACACCAATGAGGTACTTGAAGTTACCCCATTTCTCATGTTGACATTGCACACGTCAATGTTACACCCCTTTGCCCTACAACATGGAAAAACACCATCCAGGAACCTGGTACTAAAGGTACCCTACATATAATCGTGAATAGGAGGGACACCCCCAGAGCTTATAGATAACAGATAAAATTCGTCTCGTGCTTGCCCTCTTACAAAACAAGCCAACATGAAACAATGAAATCAGATTCTGAAATCAAAACATGAGGAAAATGAAAAGTAAAAATTGTCTGATTCAAAAGTTCTCAAAATGGCTAAAAGAGTAACAGATTATTATCAAAAACTTAAAATCAATAGAACTTACCTTGTTCAACTGCTTCGTCCAAAATCTGCAATGACAACTCTCTACAAGCGCAGATATCTTGAAAAATGTGCACTTTCGACAGACAATATTTTTCTACCGGAAACGTTTTTTTCTACGCATGCGCACGAAATCAGGAAAAGAACGGCCATGTTGAAATCGAAGAAAATGTTCTTCAAATATTACTAAAATACTCCAAATATGTGTAGAAATACTACCTATAGACAATGTCCTCGCAAGCTTTAGATACCGAAAATATGAAAGACAACTTGATCGATGTAACATTACCTCCAGAATTCCTTCAGAATTTGAATGGACTTGCTCCTCAAAATCAAGCAACACTGAATTTCTGGGATAGAAATCGGAACTTTGAAATTCGTCTGCACAGGCAAGAAAATGATTGTATTAACCTTAAAATCAAGCAGTGTGGTGTTGCAGCGGCTGCTTCGACAGGATATGTCGTCCATGATTCAATAGATGACACAGGTGAATCCCCATACTTTATTAACACTGAAAGTGTTCGATCAGTTCAAGGCTAAAAAAATGTCCAAGACACAAATTCTCAGATTCCATCATTCATCGGTGTTAAATGATTTAGCCAACATTCTGTAACTAATCTAACACCGGGATATAATGCCAGCTTCAGCTGACCTTTCCTTGGTAGTTGAGTACGTCAGCTAGGTTGAATGATGTTCCTTCACCAGAAGGCCTTCCACAGAGCACTAGGCTACAAACGTCATACAAATCAGACCGTTATATGCTGTTCTTCGATGTTCCTTGTTCTTATTTGCATATTTATTTTTTATCATTTTCTTTGTATACAGACCACAATATTCAAGAAAAAAGAAAAATAAATATCCAAATAACAGCATACAGAGGTCGGATTTATGACTATACGAACATGATAATTATTTTTCCATTTTAGAATCTGCAGATAGAGCTCAAGAATTGGTTTCAAGTCTGACGGCAAGTGGAAATCTTGTCACAGTGTCTGAAGATCAAAGCAAGCCAACTGTGGATCTTGTCACAGAGACTGGAGATCATCTAAACATGACTTTAGATCATGACACACCAACTGAGGAAAATGTCACAGTGACTGAAGATAATGACAAAGCAGCAGAAAGTAATGTCACACCAACTAAAGATAATGTCACAGTAACTGGAGATCTTGTCACAACAACTGGGGGTCTCATGCCTGAAGATGAATATCCATCTAATGAATTGTCATTAACATCAGGTGTGTTAGTTCAACAAGTTAAACCCAATACCATAGCTTTCATTTATTATTTATTAATCTGAATGTTCTTGTTGCCGTGATTGGGTTTAACTTCCCTGCTATGCTTTCATTGGTTCAAAAATTCTCACTATCAGTTATTAATAAAAGTGCATGAAATTTCATGCGATGCCAAAGGCCACCATTAAATTTTTTTGCATCAAGGGCCGAATAGGCATGGACGTTAAACCTAGGGCAGGCCACAAGATATGTCAGATAAGAAATAAGGCCCTAGGCCCAGACAAGGTTTAACTTGTTGAACTACAGGTGTGTGAGTTTTTTTGTATACACACGCGATTAATTTAATATTTACAGTAAAAAAATTGCAAAAGAGAAGTATAATTTAATCTAATTTTTAAAAGAAATATGGGTTCAAATTAATGTATTCACTATTTCGTTTCAGAAAATGAATCTGGTTCGGGCGATTTATCGTCAGTTAAGAAATATAGAAAGAATGCCAGAAAAAGAAGCCTGCGGGAGAAAAGTCCAGGTAACATTGAGCAACCTTTTAAATTGTACGTCTTCTATGAAACTAAAGCCTCAGTCACATTTGCGCTACAGCAGTGTTACACGGCGGTTGTAGGTTCACAAAAACGATATAGAAAATCTACATCCTCATTCCTACTGCTTATCCTTTTTTTAATGCTGCATATCCTTTTGATTTTGGGAAGCTATGTCTGCCGTATGGTTGCCATAGTTGAAATGTGACCATAGGCATAATAAATAGACATGTACATTCTTTTCAATAGGTTGATTTCACTTCTTTGAAAAAGTCTTGCATTGTCAGCTCAAAATGTGAAAGAAACTGTTGAACACCTCTTTAAGTGCAACACCTCACAAGTGGATCAAGTTTTTAAAAGTCCTATGACCCATTGGCTTCATGTTAATGAACCTCTGTAAGTGGAATACCTCACAAGTGGAACACATTTTTGTGCTCGCGATAGCATTCTACTTTATACACAGGTTCTACTGTACTTGCCAATTCAAACAATTTTGCGTTGGTCCCAGTGGTGTAAAGGTAAGAGAAGTTTAACTGTAGACTTATGACTGCTTACTTATAGGTTCAAGAGAAAAAACCTGTGGAATCTCATGTAGAGATTTTTATGTCACCACCACAAGTTATAGTCTCCAACCTTTTTTTTGTGGTGGTCGGCGGTTAGTATTTGGCGTCTCTTACAAATGGCAGGTAGTGACATTTTGCATGTTAATGCCTTGTCTATTTTTTTTTACAGGATCAAGAAAAAAGCAGACTCGACATCAAACATACAGTCCCGGGGAAGTGGATATTTTCAGCCATAAATGCACAGAATGTACCAAAAAATTCCGAGATGAGACAGCTCTTCAGCACCATCTATCATCAAAACATAATATCAAGAAAGAAGAAGGTAAGGAATTACAGTAGATGATATCAATAGACTCTTAACATGAGGAATAAATTGACATCAACCTCAATATTAAGAATAATATGACATCAACAATACATTAATTTGAGGAATACATGTAAGGTGACACCAATGAAGCCTCAATGTGTGAGAAATAAGATGACATCGATAAAACCTTGATTTGAGCAACAAGATGACATCAATTCATATGCCTTCATATATAAGGAATAAGATAACATCAGGAAAACCTCAATATTAAGAATCAGAATTCGGAATAAGATTACATCAATAAAACCTTATTTTAAGGAATAATCAAGATTAATTATATACCATATTTGTCTTGTATGTATACTTTTTGATTAAAACTGATTTGCTTTTGATTTTCCGATATTGCAGATGTTTCCTCTCCCAGTAGTTCCCCACCAGAGGGCGCCATGTCCTCTCCCATCAGTGAAGACCCAGAGGCAACCTTTAAGAAACCAAGTCAAAATTCCAAGAAATTATATCATCAATCGTTAAAACAAAACACTAAAGTTAATGAGAATGTTGTTAACTGCTCAATATGTCATTTTAATTTCCTGAACAGTAAAGTACTGTTGGATCATTTAGAAAACCATAAAGGTGAGGAAAATGTCATTTAATGTCAAGAAATGCTCATAACTTTAGTGGTGTTGTAATTTAAACCTATGTAAATGTAGCCAACCTCAGTTAACTAAACATATCTTCCATCACTGTAACCTAAAATGAAAATGAAAGAATTAATTTCTAAACTTTCACTTGTAATTCAGTTGATTGAAATCTAACTTAGAATTAATCAACAAGGTTAAGAAAAAAGGGCCTAAATGTTTGATTGGGTCCATTGTTTCACTCATTTACTTGCATTCTCCCCATACATGTTGTCAATTTCTGAAGCAATAACTCATAAATGATTGTTTTTGAATTTTAGATCATTCTGAATATGCTGAATCATATGAGAAGGTGTCAAATGACTGTGAGAAAGAGGCATGCCAGATGTGTAATTACACATGTAAAGACAAACAACTACTGGAAAACCATCAAACGGTCATTCATGGGGTAAGCGAATGGGTTAAAATGTGCTGCATGGGTTCACACTTATTGTGCTTAAAAATTGTCCAGTGGTAAGTGGTAAACACTACACAGCCAATATCCAACAGAACCATAGGGTTTGGCTACAGTACTGTACAGTACCATGAAATATGGTACTGTAGACTAAATCGGTATGGTACTGTGAACAGTGTACGACGCCGTACCCAAATGGTACCATACAGTACTGTGATTTTAGAGTGCAGATTGGGGGTGTAGGACCCCTTGTTATTTTCATTAAATTGTGATAAGAGCCGATAACCCAAACTGGAACCGAACCGAAAATATAAAAAATGTAACACAGAAATGTACTAATAAAAAATGTTGCCCTTGGAGCTAAAGTTTTTTTCTCATGTAAATAATTTTATGCTCCTGCCCTCTTTTACAGAAGCTAGATAATACTAGTGGTAGTAGTAAAACAAATTTTATCTTTTTTTGAGTTAAATAATCAATAGGTGGCACGATTTACAGGAATGAAGCAGTCTCTCAGTCACTTTCATTGGTTCATTGACCGTCGTCACTTTCATTTGTTCATTGACAGTCACTTTCATTTGTTCATTGCCAGTCACTTTCATTTGTTCATTGCCAATCACTTTCATTGGTTCATTGACAGTCACTTTCATTTGTTCATTGACAGTCACTTTCATTTGTTCATTGACCGCCGTCACTTTCATTTGTTCATTGACTGCTGTCACTTTCATTTGTTCATTGACTGCTGTCACTTGCATTTGTTCATTGACAGTCACTTTCATTTGTTCATTGACAGTCACTTGCATTTGTTCATTGACAGTCACTTTCATTTGTTCATTGACAGTCACTTTCATTTGTTCATCGACAGTTACTTTCATTTGTTCATCAACAGTCACTTTCATTTGTTCATCGACAGTTACTTTCATTTGTTCATCGACAGTTACTTTCATTTGTTCATCGACAGTCACGTTCATTTGTTTATCGACAGTTACTTTCATTTGTTCATCGACAGTCACTTTCATTTGTTCATCAACAGTCACTTTCATTTGTTCATCGACAGTCACTTTCATTTGTTCATTGACAGTCACTTTCATGTGTTCATTGACAGTCACTTTCATTTGTTCATTGATTTGCATTGTGTTCACTATTGGTGTAGACATGAGGCATTTGAGGCAATTGCCTCACCAAAATATTAAACTGACATTTTTCAATTGAAAATATGAAAATAAAAATTACTCTAAATTGCCTCAACATTTTGAATATGCCTCCTCATTTTAAGATCTTTACTGTGCCCTTGATTGTAATAGCCATAATCATCTTTTTCAGAACTCAAATACAACAATGGCTGACCTATTATCTGTAATGATGATCTACCATTTTAAATGTAAACTTTTGTACTCAAGTTTGCATCACTAAGTCATAGTTATCACCTATTTTTCAGAACTCAAATACAACAATGGCTGACCTATCAGTAATGATGAACTCACCTTTCAAATGTAAACTTTGTACCAGTGGCTCAGAGGCAGGGAACTGTGATAATTGGTTAGAACTCAACCAACATGTTGCTCAACAACATCTGACACAGGGAAATAAAAATGATGACAATTCAGGTTTGTTCAGAGTTTTGTGCCTTCAGTTATGAGTGAAGATTCTAGAATACTGTAATTCAATTGGGATTTGTTTATGTCACCACTGGAAGTTGTAACATATTGTTATAGTCTCCAACTTTTTTGTGGATGGTTTTTGGCAATAGGTGGTTGACATTTGTAACAAATGGCAAGTGGTGACATATTGCATGGTTATTGTGATCATAAGAATTATGTGAATTTATGCAATTTTCAATTTTGCGGCCATTTAGTTTGGTAGATAGCAGGGTAAAGACCTAATAGCTTACATGAATTATTCTAGTATAAATGTATGATCTGAATCAAAAAAAATATCATACATGTATTTGTAGACTCAGAGATGAAAACCATGAATGAATACATGTCCGAGCTTACTAAGTGTGCCGAGTCTGAAAGGCTTATACATCAATGTATATTCTGTAAAACTGTGGCTGGGACTAACAGACACCTCAAGGGACATGTTGAGAAGTGCCATAGAAAAGACCAAAGATATATTGTGAGTTCTTGCTGCTTTATCAAGTGGCCTTATCATTTTTTACGGAATTTTTTTCTCCAATATTGGTGAATTATTTTTTATCCCATCAAACGAAGTTCGAGGGGGATATAGAAAAGCCGTTCGTCCGTCTGTTCGTCCATCTGTCTGTTCGTCCGTCTGTCCATTCGTCCGTCCGTTCGTGTGTCCGGGCAATAACTCAAATACCGGGTGACGGATTTCATTCAAATTTTATAGGCTTATGCCTTATGGGTGTGGGACCTCCGCTCGGGAAGGAAATTTCAATATGGCGGCTAAATTCAAAATGGTGGCCATTTTTAGGAAAAAACATAATCTGATAACTCAAATACTATTGCATGGATTTAGTTCAAATTTTATATGCTGATGCCTGGGTACAGAGGAGCCTTGCTCAAGAAGACATTTTCAAGATGGCCGCCATATATCAAAATCGCGGCCATTTTTTGTAAAAAAATGTTATCTTTGATAAGTACCAGTTGACAGATTTGGATTAAATTGTATATGCTGATGTCTTGGGGCATAGGAGCTCTGCTAAAGAAGAAATCTAAAGATAACAGCTGAATTTCCAAGTGGCAACCATGTTTCATAAAAACATAACCTTTGATAATTCAAATACCAGTGGATGGATTTGGCTCAAATTTTATATGGCCGCTATTTATCAAAACATGTTTTGTACGGTGGAATTTGCTACTCCGTGGAGTTGCTGTTTCTAGTTGATTTTGAATTATTGTGTAGCATTTTGGGATTTTTGAAACTTCATGGGAAGTGCATTGAACTTTCGAATGAAAATATGGATGTTCTTTTTTACTATTGCTTTTTAAAATCGCAAAAACTTGAATATTTTATGTACTGTATAGTAATAATGTTACAAATATTAACTTGGTCAATTTTGGTCTAAATCAACCAGAGGTTCAGTGTTACTGAGCTCTGGTAGTTGTACTAGCAACCTATCACCATGGTATCTTAGATGCAAGCTATCACCATGGTATCTTAGATGCCCTCTATTGTTATCGGGTAAGATGCAGAATCAAACTTCAAAATAATCATCATACTGCATATATAAATTTAAAAGATAGTCTTCGATATTGATTTTAGAAAAGATTTGTCATTTTAGAAAAGACTTGTCTCTGTTTGGAGAACCAAGTTCATCAGTCACAAGTGACCCCTGCTTCGGACAATTGTGATATTTTTACATATTGTAGATTTAAATGTCCTCTTTTGAATATCCATAATTTAATTTTGTGATATTTCTTGAATTCTTTAAAAAAAACTATTAGTGCAGTACACTGATGAACTTCTTTCTCCAAATCAAAACTTGTATTTTATTGAATCATCTACTGCACTGTTACCCCTGCTTTGGACAATTGTGATATTTTTACATATTGTAGATTTAAATCTCCTCTTTTGAATATCCATAATTTAATTCTGTGATATTGTCCTTGACTTTACTATGAACATTTTTGTTATAATCTTTTTAATTATAAACAGTTTGTGAAACTTTTTACAGGACTATATCCAAGAAAATATTTACAACAAAAATGCAGCCAAGTTGATTGGCTACAGCACTCTACAGCCAATAATTCCAAGTGTTGGAAATTACGTGTGTCGGTATGTATTGTGTTCGATTACTTTCCACACTACACATGAGCATAAATAAGGGTTATATACTGGGAAGATTTAGTAAAGGGTTTATCCCATGAGAAATATGTGTATCTTATGAGGGATCTTGAGCAATACATAACTGCAGGCCCGTAGCCTGTAGCCGTAGGGGGGGGTTGATGGGTTCGAGCCCCCCTGGCCAAAAAAATTCTTTCAAAATCATGCAGTTTTTCATCATTCTGAGCACATTTTAAGTGATTTGGGCCATTTATGAACCAAAATTGTCAAAAGTGAACCCTCCTGTAATTTTTCAAAAAGTGAACTTAGCAAATCCTGGCTACAGGCCTGTAACTATCAGTCTCAGTTAAAGGCTAGTATCCAATAGATGTTTGATATAATCACGGACAAATTACGGAGTCCTCTGCTTAAATGTTTTATTCTAGAGCTGATGAGAAATATCTTTTGAGGGACCTCAGCACATAAGTAGTCGTTTTAATTGAATTTAGCATAAGTAAACTTGTAATATAAATCACAGTCTAAGCATTTGGTCCAGTGTTTAACCCTTTTCTGCCCAGAACTGATTTACTTAAAAAATTTAAACCATTTTAACATGTCTTATATGAATTTGACCCCATAAAATATATATGTTCTAAAAGGTAAAAGAAAGTTGCACAATAAGAAAAATCAAAGTAAAGTCTTCTGTTGTTAAAGTTGTTCTAAACCTACTTCAAGGTCATTATTGGGTCATGTGATCAAGCCAATACTGGGCAGGAAAGGGTTAAGTCTTGTATCACGGTTTGAAAAAGTGCTGTATTGGGGGGTGTCTGGGTTGAATTTGTTTTTTTTTCATACTGGGTTTACTCTTGATCTAATGATAGTGTTTTTTCAGATATTGCTCAATGAAGTACAAAACTGGTAATTCTTTAATGGCTCATGTTCAGAAGGACCATTCAACAGCTGAAGGCATTGACGAATATATTGTCGAACTGAAAGAGGAGCTCAAGATTACCTGCCATATTTGCAACAAGGTCATCGCAAACAAGTGAGTAAATGCATTTTGAGAATGATTACATTTATAAGATGAAAGGGGTGTTCAGTGTTATCAAAATATTGACAGTTATGGAAAAAGTTGTTTAGGGGTGGTATCAAAATATAAGCAGTTGTGGAAAATTGCTAAAGGGTAGGACATAAATAAAGGTTTTACTTTTGTCACAGTAATCTGTTGATTTACTGGCAGTTCGCTAAAAAAAGTAAACAATTTTATTTTAAGAGGATGGAGTTAAAACCAAAATAAAATTATTTTCTTCCGACAATTATTGGCATTTTAACATCACCCCATATTGTAAAATACAATGAAATATTGTAAAATACAATGAAATAAAAGTGGAATCAAACTTGGGGATTTCATTTCAGTGTAGCCAGTATTATCATGGCCTAAACTACATTGTACGAGATACAACATGATTAGAAAGCTCATCTGTTAAAGAACAAACAACAATGATATTGCGAATTTTAATGTCAATATACGATAAATTGTTGAAGCCTTGTAAAAGATTACATTCATCCATTTACCAATTTATCAATATTAGTTGATTGATTAATTTTTAATTACGTTAAAACCTGATTATTACTTAATTTGAGTAAAGTCCCCAATTGACTGATACCCTGTATCTAAATGACCCCAAAATTAGCTGACATTGGTCTTGAATGAGAAAATGTCAGTATGAAATACTGAGATACTTAAAAAAGCATGAAGTTTAGTGAATGCTATTTTGATTATGTAGCTGAATTTTGATAGACCTTTTTGATTGGATGAAGCGAGATCAAAGAATTACCTCCAACTCAAAGAAAGTTGATGATGGTCTCTTATAAAGCAAAATCAATCTATTCGAGAGGGTATTTGATCTCTTGCAATTACCCAAATGCGAGTAGGTAGTTACCAGTTTCACCACCAGGTGGCTGATTCGGGTCAATTAACATGGCAGATATATAAGAAAGTTCCCTTAAACTTGAATATTATCAATTTAAGTGGCTCAATTTTCATATAACCCTTATGTGTCTGATACTTATACATGTACTCATGAAAATATGTCCAGGAAAGCAAAATATTATCTGTCCACTAAAAGAAAAGATATTTCATTTTTTGTAATTTTATAGCATGGGGTCTATGGGGAATCTCCCCGAGCTAGAAGTCACATTTTCAAAGAAAATTAATTTTTCAAAGTTGATAAACAATTTTTAAAACCACATCTCTAGATGTAATTTTACATGTAGATTTCAAATATGATATTACTTTGACTGAATTTTGAATTTTTAATGACGTAAATCAAGATTATTTCTACTCGCATCTGGGTTATTAACGAGCTTTAAATGTCATGAATAGTGTTATGACTTTTGACATATAAAGGTTAACAGATCTAAACGTCAAATTAGATCAACAAATCAACAATTGCTTGTTCTATATTCAAATCTCTTTTATTGAGAATATTGAACAGATGTTTAATGGGCACAGAAATTTAGATTTGTTTTTTTTCATATGTTTTTGGTGGCAATATTTTTATAGTTTTTACATTGTCTGGTTTGGCCTACACATTTATTCAAATGATCCTTTATTGTACTTGAATACATTTTAATTATCATTGTATTATTCAAAAAACAATACTTTAAAGTAAAATCGTAATTTACAACATTACAAGAAAAATGGTTATGAAGACAAATGGGCAAAAAGTGAACTTATGTAAGCAAGTCAAATCCTTAAAGCTCATTGGTGCTTGGGGGCAAATTGTGTAAAATTATAGTCATTTTCCTCTCATTTTCTGAACTAATAAATCACTTTAAGCAGAGGTTACTGTCATCAGGTACAATTCTATTCAGTTACTCAATATACAGTTATATAGTAATAACTATAAGAAAACAGATTGCATAAATCTATATATTTGAGTATATCACCACGACACAGTTTGAGAAAATAAATACATGTAGAGTGAAAAAGATGCACCAGTGGTCTCGTAATCCTTTATTTTATCAACAAGTCTATATAATGAGATCAAATCACTCAGCTATAAACCTGAGTTTTAGCAAAAGAGTGAATAAGGCATACCAGCAATTCTCCTTTTGTGTAAAAATCTGGAAAATGAAGTTCATTTTTGTATAAAAACGCTGGAAAATTAAGTTCATTTTTGTATAAAAATACTGGAAAATGAACTTCATTTTTGTATAAAAATGCTGGAAAATGAACTTTATTTTTGTATAAAAATGCTGGAAAATGAAGTTCATTTTTGTGTAAAAATGCTGGAAAATGAAGTTCATTTTTGTATAAAAATGCTGGAAAATGAAGTTCATTTTTGTATAAAAATACTGGAAAATGAAGTTCATTTTTGTATAAAATGCTGGAAAATGAACTTTATTTTTGTATAAAAATGCTTGAAAATGAAATTAAAGAGATAAACGTAAATACAAAAATTTAAAACAAACCAAAACTAGGTTTAATTTATTGATCCTAGCAAACCAGCATAAAAACATTCTCCGATAGATATTGATCAGTTATCCTAGCAAACTGCAACATGATAACACATATTGTTCAATATACCAATGGCTCCCCGAGAAGGATTTTGATATATACTATGATATTTGCTCTTATTGGATTGCTTTATGTATGTTTAACAAACAATACTGGCAATGCGAATAAATCACAAAAATATAAAAGTGAATGGTCAGCAAGGGCACCCTTGTTTAAGGCCTATTATTTGCAGGGATCGGATTATTTGAAACAAACTATTGTTGAAGACAGTAAAGACAGTTTGGGACAGGATAAAAACCAACTTGACTCTGAAGCTGAAACTGGTGGAGCACTTGTGCCTAAACAAAATGTTTTCTACTTGAAGATTCATAAAACTGGGAGCACAACTCTGCAAAATATATTTCTCAGATACGGAGATGTTCATAACATGACATTCGCAATGCCTTGGAAAAGACATAGGGTGTGTTACCCAGAGATATTTGATAAATCATGTTTGATACCAATTCATGAAAAATATCAAACTTCTGTAATGTATTGTTTTCATATGCGATATCACAAAAGTGTAAGAGATCTGATGCCAAAAAATACTTTTTACACAACTTCCATTAGAAGTCCTGGAGCACATTTTCTCTCTGCTTTCCACTTCCATAAATTTGCAAAATGTTACGGGATCGACCATGAGGATATCCCATGGAAGTTTTTTCTTGAGAATGTAACATCTAGCGTTGTGAAAGTCAAACAGTGCAATATGTGGCAAGTGTCAAGCAAAAGTGAGCAGCTGTTCGAATTTGGCGTTGAGATACCCGATCTAGACAAGGATGTTACCATCAAAAATAAAATACTCCAGATTGAACAAGATTTTGATTTTATAATGATTACTGATTATATACACGAAAGTCTGGTTCTTTTAGCCGATCTTTTAAACTGGAATTTAGAGGAAGTTGTTTATTTTACGAAAATGCAGAAAAATAACCATGACACTGAAATAAATTCCTATTATTTAAACTTGGTGAAAAAATGGAATAAAGGAGATGCCATTCTATTTGATCATTTCAACAAAACATTCTGGAAAAAAGTTGAAATATATGGCTGTGCTAGAATGCACAAACAGACCATTAAATTAAGAAATCTTATCAAATTCTGGACTGAAAAATGTGACAGGTCCCCGGGTGATCCAACATGTGTCCGGATGCTGCTGACGGAGCCAATTTACATTCATGAGCTCAAGACAAAAATGATCTATCAGGACCGTTTCATAATTGATGATATTAAAAATGTTTCAACTGGTGCTCCACTATCCTCTAGTCCCTTTTTCCCGTATCACACAAAGTTATTCAAAGAAACCTACCCAAGAACTGACCCTTGTAAAGTTATACCAACATCACATAGAATATCGACATGTAAATCAATGGAGTAAAATGTTCCAGAATATAAAAGATGTAAAAACATTTTTTTTAGTTTTTGCCTTAAAGAGACTCTATACCATAGGATAGCACAATCAAGTCCCCTCTGGTCCTTTTTGATATTGAGTTTCACCAACATATTCACCGATCTACTTACCAATGAAGAAGTCCCAAATCCCCCGCTTTTAGTGTTAATTTTGGGATTGCACTGTTTGATCTAATTATTTCACGGGAATTTATCAAATCTGAAGTTTAAATAAATCGGTAAAATACCCCTGTTATCTGTTTCAACTTGATGTCTTCTAGTAGAATGTCAGAGAATTCTGTTCAAACCGCCTGATAGTTGTGACAAAAATGAGCCGGGAAAGGGGCATCTAATTAGGTTTTGGGCATGCTGGGTTTACTCGAGATCTGATGATTGTTGTTTTTCACACATTGCTGCTGTCAATTAAGTACAAACTGGTAATTCTTTGACATGTTTGATGGCTCATGTTCAGAAGAACCATACAACACAGGCCTGTAGCCAGAATTTTCCAAGGGGGGGTTCGTTTTTCTAAAAAATTCTAGGGGGGGTTCACTATGGCAAATATGGCCAAAAATCACTCAAAAATTAGTCAGAATGGTGAAAAACTGCATGATTTTGAAAGAAATTTTGGCCAGGGGGGGTTCGCCCGAACCCCCCGAACCCCCCCTGGCTACGGGCCTGCAACAGCTGATGGCAACGAGAATTGAACAGATATGTAATGAGCGCAGAAATTTAGACTTTCATATGTTTTTGGTGGCAATATCTTTATAGTTTTTACATTGTCTGGTTTGGCCTACACATAATAATTTATTCATATGTTCCTTTATTGTAGGTACCTGAATAAAGGATTGGTATCGATATGGAGAACTGAATTCAACAATGTTTTTCTCTTAAGCCAATCATTTAAATACAGTATTTTATGTAATGTTGACTGATTGACAACAATTTAATGCGAAAATTATTTAGAAATATTTTATATAACTGTTTTTGTTAACATTTTTTGTTTTTTTAGTGCAATTGTTTTTGCTCCTTTCTACCAATTCTTGAGAATGAAATAAAATGTCTTTCCGAACCTTGTTGGAACAAAGTAGCATATACAACATGTTTTTAGACCTCTCAAAATTAAAGTTATACAAAGGAATTTTCGGTTGATTTTAAAAAATTCAAAAATTAAAACAAAATCCCCCCAAAATAGATAAAAATCAAGATAAACCTTTTATTTCATTAACAAGATACTTTTTTAAAATCAACCAAAATTTCCTTTGTAGAATTACAATATTGAGAGACCTAAACATGTTGTGTTTATGTAGTTTTGTTCCAATGAGGTTCGGAAAGATGTTGCATTTCACTCTGGAAACATGATACAAAGAACAAAACAAGTGTTTGATGTGTTTTCTAAAACAATATAGATGAAAGTATATATACATATTTTTCAAATTGTATTGTTATCATTTAAAAGATGACCATTAAGTTGACGATGTGTTAAATTTTTAGATTTTTTTTATAACTGGTTTAAGAGAAACGTGTGTTCAAAAAGTTCTTCATATCGATACCACTCCTTTCAATAATCATTCAGTGGAGACGCAAACCCAATTCGATGTGCCATTTTGCATGTCAATTGACGTGAATCACGTCAATGAGTATATTGTGCATTGTAATTTATAATTTGAAACGCTAGGTTAATTAGAAGACCCAGTGTTTAATATATATACGGTTTAAGTAATGTTTCTCTTATTGTACGTATAGTTTTGGTAAACATCAATGATATATTAAATCCCCAGGATATATTTCATTCGAAAATTGGGGGGAAAATGCCGTTCAATCTTGTGAATTTTCTGTCAATGTGACGAATCAATGAAATCACCACCGAACTTGGTTTCTTGGAAAGTCTAAATGGATCAATGGAACTCTTTTTATTGCCTTTTCTTCAAGTATTTTCTCTTATCTGTATGTATGAATTTGCGATCTATGTGGGCGTTTCGCACTTGATCTAATCAGAGGTTACCTCTCATGAATCCTAGAAAATGCCATATTGGAATTACTAATACTCTTTCAATTGTCTTGATAAATCTCTTTCTGATGGTTTTTCCGACAAAGTTGGTACTGCCCCGGCTTTGTATAAAAAACCTCATACCCACCTACATGGGACATGATACAGTCATTGAAGGGTTCAATTTTAAAGATTTTTAAATCTCAAAATAGCTATAATTATTAACATTTCTACAATTCCGGCTTTATTTCATGACTAGACGGATGACAGATCCATAAATAAAAGCATATGGGTGCATTGTAATGTGTAATTACCCGAGAGTGCCCCAGGGGAATAACTAACTAACGACCGCGAGCATAGGTCCAACAAGCCAGATAAAGAAATTGAGAGAAAGTGTGCTAAATTCGATGCCCCGAGTGGGAATCGAACCCAGCTGGGCTGTAGTAGCAACTTGCTATCAAGGGTCCTTACAAATGCATCTATAATTCATCATAAACTAAGATTTAATAAACTAAGATCTTTGAAATTGAACCCTTCAAAGACTGTATAAAGTGGGTAGGTATACCCATTGTAAAACTTTCGTCAAAATTATCAATAAATCTATAAAATATGGCCTATTATATTTCTATCCCTTTTTCATCAGAATATGATATGCTTGTGTGATTTAGTATAAACTGATAAGATTCCTTTCCAAACAATATTTACATAATATAAGCGCATATCGAATGTCATTGCTTGACTAGCATCAGCCATCTGCTTTAAGTTAGTCCAGTGTGGCTTCCAAGTCTCTCGTCGCTCTATTGTCTAGCCCCAGTTCTTTTGAAATGGAATGATACCCAGGGAATGCTAAGACTTGGTTTGTTCAACTGACCCCAGATATGTACACCTTGGTACAATCATCAGCTGTTGAAGGAATGTGTTCAATAATGTACAATGCTCTCTTGTAGTGTTGCATTAAGACATCAGCCATTGAATGAATGTGTTCAATAATGAAGTAGTCTTCTTTATAAATATATCCTTCCTTGCAGTGTTGATTGAGGTGTCATTGCTTGATTTATCATACTGCAAATTAACAAAGCTCTCTAAAACAGGGAAGGAATCTGTGAGTTTAGAAGGATCATCTATTAGACTAAGGAGTACATTCTTCAGTTGTGGAAATGAGTTCAATCTGTCCCATGCTGTAATTCTGCTCCCGCCATAGAACCCAGATGTGGTATCACAACTTGTCAGAGTGTGGAATAATGGGAGACATAGACTTTTTAAGGGCAATGGAATTCGCCATTTTATTTACAGCTAAGTACCTGAAGTGTCTCTCCTTGCCTTATGTAGCCCATATTTGTTCACTCAGAACATGACACGATGACCTTCATCTTTGTATCTGCTTCCTCAAGTATGTAAAGTGACATGTCTTTGGTGGATTGTTTTTGTGGATACCACATGACATCTTTAACGAAGGTTGTGATAATTCTTTTCCTTCAGATACAATTATATTGCTCACATTTGCAAGGATTTGGTACAGTTCTCTCTTATTTGACTCGAAGTACAAAAAATCTTGCCAGTTCCCAGTAATTTTCGGGATAAATGTGTCGCCTTTTATCCATTTCTCTCTTATTCCTTGCACCAGCCTTTAAACTGTTAATTCCATAACTGTCCCAAACAATATCTAAGACGGATGACATTGTTGAGTTGATCTTGGATCATGTGGATGTATTTGTTGAATATTGACATATTCCTAGAAGGTCTTTGCTTCATGGATAGAGAGAACATTTACTACGACAGTGCCATCTAAAATTATAACTTGAACATTTGTAGCATATATATGCTGTCATGCCTGTAGGTTCTCTAATGAAGTCGAGACATCTGCTTTTGAGACTAGCAATGAACAAAAGGCAAAAAAGATTGCAATCATTCTTTTGATTGGATATTTTTGCTTGAATGATTCAACTGTGGTCATGCAAGAGCTGGGCTTTCAATAGCAGGGGGCGAGTGTCCGAAATCGCCGTTTGTTTTCGATAATTCGCCGTTTGTTAGAAGTCAAATATTGTCTAAGTTTTGGGGGAAAATAAAAGCCTTCTATAGACTATCATTTATTTTATTCAGCGATCTTGTTTTGCACTTCCTTGTCTATGATTTGTACCTCAGTTTCGAACTGCAATGGAACTCACTATAATCGTAAGGATCACTTGATCTCATTATAGTAGTAAACACCGTCCAATTTTGTACCCGTTTGGGCTATGGATTTTAGATCACTATCTGACCACTATCATGTGCATGACAATTCAAATTCGAACCTTTTGTATGATCAGAGTTGGTTATTTTCCACTGGACATGCAGTTACATGTATGATTGATACAACTCTGTCCAACTTGTCACAGTACAGTCTACCCTGCGTGCAGAGTCTAGTTAAACTACTGAAGACGAAGAAGCTCTCTCTTAAGAAGTGAAGTCAAACGAATGCAAAGGGTAAGTACAGTCCTTCCAATGGGTGTAAAATTGTATTAATCAGTTAAAGGCCCCATATAAAGTTTAAACCACTTTGGCTTATATTTTTGTCTTATCCAATGTTATCAAAGCGTGAAATGTGAAACTTTTTATTAATTTCAAAATTATTTTTGAAGGACTTTTTGTTTAAAATATCGTGAATTTATTCAAAACTAACTTTAAGAGGTCACACTTATCCTTTAAAGCGATAATTCACACCGATGCATAGCAATCATCCTCACTTGTTTTTTGCCGACAAAATCAAGAAAATTGGTTGAAGGATGAGCGAGCAATGAACAGTGGTTCAGGGAAAGATGCATTTCAAAATTTTAATTCTCATAGAAACCAATGGTAAACTAATATTAAAAACATATTCATCCTTTTAACTTGGTTAGACAGTCAAAATTGGTTTATTTTTTAAGTTTAGCATATTTAGAAAAGATTGACATTGAAAAATGTTGCCACCTAAGTGATGTCACGATGTGGTCACTTAGGTTGAAAATATTTTCGATATGCTAAATCATTAAATTGGCACATTAGATATAACATTTTATTTTTAACATAGTGTGTCTGTTATATATTGGTGTTAAAAAGATATAGAGGTTCTTATATGAGTACCTGTGCAAGATCATCCATTCTTGATGAGATTTAATAAAGAAACATTATCAAAGCGACTGTCGGGTAAATTATGAATGTAGTTTCGCACAGGTATCAACGGAACCAAACAGTGAACCCCGCTTTCCCGAACCCGAGTTTCCAGGATTCGCCTCGCATGCCTCCGACTCTTTCTCAAGATTTGGGCCCTAATTTTCTAAAAATATATTGTACCCCTACATTATATCATCCTGGTGTCTCGTTTATAACACCCTTGTAATTACAATGCATGATAAAAAGTGTATGTGTGGATGGCCCGCATTTGACCCCCCCACTTACCAAAAGTTGGGACATGTATACCTTTATATACTCAACCGGCCAAGTATTAACATTACAAAAGGGAGAAAAAATCCACCAGGTCCA